CAGTCTCTGCCCGCTGTAGGCACAGGCCTGCGGGCGGCGAGGCCAGCAGCAGCTCTGGCTCCCAGACAGGCAGCCGCCCAGCAAAGACAGAGCCGCGGGCTCAGAGAGGACGCGTGCTAAAAATGAAGACGTGAGTCATTATTGAAGCTATGTCCCGGCAGGGGCCTGTGTGGCTCCCGCAGGGGACCGAGCGAGGGTGCTGCGGAAAAAGCCCCTCGGGCAAGACCGGCCAAGGGGGACCGTCTGATTCCCCATTCGGGCTGGGTGGGGACGGGCACCCACCGGCCAGGCCCCGGAGCCGGGTCCGGCTCAGGACACACTATCCCAACGTGGCGTGAAGACTGGGCCTTTCACTTAAAACCCGTCGCACGGAGCGCGAGCCCCTGGGAACAGCTCGAGTAGCCGTCAACCATCAAGAGCTTATGATAAAAAACGACCGTCTCCGCTCTCCTCTCTCTGCCTGTCTGAGCTCCCGTACTGTCCTTCCCACGGCTCCCTTCAAATGCTGGAGGTGATGTTTGATGACAGCCTGGATTCCCTAAGGGTAGACAGAATCTGTGGGCTTTCCGTGTAGAAGATAAAGACTTCGCTCATACTTTACCCCCTTCTCTTCTCCTCCTAAGGAAAAAGAAATACATATGTATATACATGTCAGCGTGTGTGTGCGCGCACGCGCGCGTGCGCACACGTGTGTATTGATTCTCAATCACCTTCACTACGGTGAGGCAAGGAGACGCCGTGGTTGACAGCAGGGGCCGGGACGCCTGCAGAATTCTCACTGGCATCGTGCTGAGGGCGTAGCCTGAGCCTGGCGCGCGAGAGGCTCACTCCGGGTATGTTTAATCCCAGTACATTCAATCCTAATTCACTCCCTTTATTTAAGCCCTGCTTTATAGATGCGGACCCATAGGCACAGAGAGGGCATTGCAAATTGTCCAAATCACACAGCCGGGAAGTGCTCCCACCGGGCCCTGCTGTGTGAGTTCAGGTGAAACGGTTACCCTCTCTGGGCCTCCCCATCTTCTCGTCTCTGAAAGTGATGCAACTCCGTGTTCTGCTCGTCTTTCCAGATCACGGGGGCTGCACGAGTCTGATGAAACCGACCAGCCACACCTCCCCACTGCTCTGTGGGGGATCAGGACCCTCCTGGGTGTGTTGAGTGAGGACAAGGAGCTACCGAGACTTGCTCCGTGTGCGTGCGGTGCGCACAGCCCGCCAGGACGCTGGAGCGCCAAGCCCTGCCCTCAAGCGCAGGACTTGATCTGTGAACAATCACGTGTCACAGGAGTAGGATCTTTGTTTTCAACTCAGCCTGGGCCTTTGGGTCTTTGGTTTGCTTTGGAGCCATCCCTGCAGGTGAGGGCCACGCCTCACTGTCAGGCATTAGGGCCTTGGTCCCCCGGCCCCACCTATGGCATGATACGTCGGGACCCACTGACAGCCATCCCCCACGCCCACCCTCCTCGCCTCCAGTCTGGCTTTCCATTGAGTAGCTGTGTGACCTCTGACAAGTCGCTGAACCTCTCTGAGCCTCCATGGCCTGATCTGCTTTATTTTAAAACAGACGGACCCACACCCATGTTGGGTGGCACAGCAGTTTGCGGGGTGCAAGTTCAGGACAGTACGTGTGTGGAGGCCTTTGTGAGCTGCCCGTGACTGCACAACCTCACTTGCATGACTGTTCCCAAAGCCGCTTGGAACACGTGGGTAACGTTATTTCTGCGTGCCCTTCCCCTTAACCGTCTGGCATTTCTGGCAGCTTCCCTCTCGCAAAGCAGCCTGGGAAAGTCCCCTCGACGCCAGGGTGCTGGGCGCGCCTGGAGCCTGGGATCACCCTGCCACACGCTCTTACAAGCAGGGGACTTCGCAAGCTCCTGGGTCCGCGGGTCCCTTTCCAGAGGCGGGTCGTACCGGGGTCTGCCCTTTTCTCTCACCCGGAACAAACACTTCAGGACCCCTTGTAAGGTACCCCAACACCTCTTCTCTGTTAACTACCGACTTTTTTCTATTAAACATCCAAGTCCTCTCTCTCTCTCTCTCTTCTCTCTCTCCTCTCCTGTCTTTGATCTGACTTTGAAAGCAATTTGAATCAGATCATTCCTAAAACCTGCTTCAAACCTTCTGCAGATTCCCCACCTCCTGGCGGATCAAATCCCAGGCCTCAGCACCACGTCCCGGACACTGCAAACCTCGCCGCTGCCAGCGCCCCGGCCCCCAGCACCCGCCCAGAGCGAGCTCTGAGATCTCACGAGACCTCCCCTTCTTGTTCTTATGGCTTCACAGCATGGCCCCCTTTCCTCTGAGACCGGCCAAGGGCCACCCACCCACCCGCGAGCCCTTGGCTCAAGCTAACTTATGGAAATTTTGGCCTTTCCTCCCCTCTTTGACATTTGCGGACCATCTGACAGAGTGAGAAATAGAAGCTTTTACAGTACAGGCTTTCAGTCCACGGGCAGCCCCAGCTTGTAGCAGGGGATCCGATTAGGTCAGAGGTCATGGTCACCGGGGTCATTTGTTTGGGCCATTAACTGGGCGTTTGACATTTGTAGTGTGGGCACGTTTTTCCTGCCTCTGGATGTAGACATTTCTCCAACATTATTCCACACAGGGAAGCCCATTGCAGGGGCAGCTGTGTGTGGGCGCAGGGAAGCATCCAGAACCTCGGTGGGCATGGTCTTAGAGGTGTTCCTGGTAGGTGTGAATGGCGCGAAGGGGGCCAGGACCAGAGCGAGGTGAGTGAGGTGCTCGCCAAGAGCACAACATTCAAGGAAATGTTCCAAATGTGGAAATCATGGCAAATATGACTTTACGTTTGAAGGTTATCTTGAAGGTCAAAGTTGACACAAAAAATTCAAGGCGAAGGGAACCTCAAAGTTTTTAATAAAGTCAGGATGACCCTTCAGCCCACGGGCCTCACCCTGAATCCCCACCCGGCTGCCTGAGGGTCACTATTCACTTCTCCGTGATCAGAAGTGATAAGCTGTCTGTCAAAACTTGGCCAAGCCACGGCCAAGGCTGAAGCAAGCCCTCTCTTGTGGGCTTGAGGGGGTGGGCATCTGGGGAGAAGGTGAGCCTTAACGTATACCTGTTCTGGAGAGCACAGCCCCCCACTTTGGCCCCCTGTGAGATGACAGACCCCCACACCCACTTCTGGTCAAGGGGCCCACGGAAGACCTGTCTTGCCTACAAAGATTTGAAGCAGACAAGTCAGCTCTGACTTTTTTCTCCAGAATGTTCCAACTATTCAAACCTCTGGTCGATCCTGTGCGCAGCAGACTTCCCCTGTTCTCCCTGGTTGGTGTGAAATGCATCGTAAATTCACCTGAATACAGGTCCCTCTGTGTCCCTCTTAGGGAGCTACCCAGCCCTCTGGAACGTATGTTACCATACCACCGGTGTCCTGGCTGCTTCCTGTGCCTGCAGGTGAATTCTGTCTCCAGCTCACTGCTTGGCAGTTGAGATATCACCGTAAAATGTCACCTCAGAGGGGTGGCCTGGGTGGCTCAGTCAGTTAAGCGGTCTGACTTTGGCTCAGGTCATGATCTCACTGTTTGTGGGTTCAAGGCCGGCGTCGGGCTCTGTGCTGTCAGCATGGAGCCTGCTTCAGGTCTTCTACCCCCCGCCCATTCCTTGCTCATGCTCTCTCTCTTTCTCTCAAAAATAAAAAATGGGCTTAAAAAAAAAGTCACCTCAGGGCCGCCCTCCCTGAACACCAGAACCAAAAACGTTCCCTCTGATTCTCCGTGCCCGCAGTGCCATGTTAATCTCCTCCACTAACTCCCCCCTTTCACTCCCGGGGGGGGTGCTCACCGATCCCTCGCCACACGGGGCGCCCCGGGGCCGCGCCGTCTTCCCCAGGGCTGAGAGCACAGCGGGGCCTTGACCCGACGAACGTACTTTAAGGATGGTGACGAGCAGACCCTCGCACACGGAGCTGGCACATGCGTCCACACCCTCTCTCTCGCCTCTGCTCCCCTCACCTCTGCTCCCCCACATGCCTGCCCTTTTCAAAGCCTTGTGTGGGCCCCCTGGGACAGCTGGGTCCCTGGGAGAGGTGTGGGGTGTCTGCGTGAGTGGGTGGGTGGATGGAGCTGGCCAGGGGCAAAGGGCTGCTTGTGGGTCACCGGAAGAAAAGGACATCACTGTCCTTCTCCCTTGGGAGGAAGGAGAAAGGGGGAGGGGAGGGGAGACCCCTGTTGAGGAGCAGAATGTGCTTGGAAGATCTGTGGAAAGACACAGATGCACATGGGATTCCAGGAAGGGTTTCTAATCCCCCTCCCGCCCCGTGTCCACCGCTGCTTTCCACCCCCAAAGGCCCAGGTGGCCTTGGGGAACCAGACAATCGAATAACTGAGACCCAGGTACCAGGGCCGGCAGTGGGCCCTTTAGAACAGAAACTAAGGGTGGGCATATTCCGTTTGGAAAGGGAGGCGCTAAAGAGCCGGTCTGGAAGCCGGAGAGCTTTCCAGCATCCTGTCCGCTCCACTGCACCTTACAGATCTCCTCAAATCCACGTTTCCAAAGTTTCTTGTATCCTGACTTCGGCGAGACGGAGGAAACCCCGCGCGGCCACATCACACGTCACCACCACCAGCCCTTGGGATGACTCGGGGACCCTCCTCCCCAAACGCAGGGGTGTGCACGGTCGGGGGGCACCTGGAAGCTGTGCAGGTCCTGGGAGCGGCGTGGGCGGAGGCCAGAGCGGGGTGGGCCTGGAGGGGAGGGGAGGGGAGGGGAGGGGAGGGGGGGGGGGGGGGGGGGCAGGAGGGAGGAGGAGGCGCCTAGAAAAGGAGGCGCGGGCCGGGAAGGTGCGGAGACGGCGGGCGGCGCCGCGCGCAGGCGAGGCCGGGCGGCGGGGGCGCAGGAGGCGGCGCGCGCGGAGCGGCCGGGCGGGGAGCCGGGGCGCGGGGGGCGCCGGGCCTGACGCGCCGCCCGCTCGGCTCTGCCCGCAGGTCCCGGGCGCGCAGCCCCCGGCCCGGGCCCCGAGGCGCGGTGGAGCGGCGCCCGGAGGAGCCGGGGGCCCGCGCCCCGCGCCCCCCAGACATGGTGGGCCAGCTGCATCTGCAGGGCATGGAGGAGAGCCTCAAGGAGAGGAGCCGGGAGGGCTTGCTGGACAGCCCCGACTCCGGGCTGCCCCCCAGCCCCAGCCCCAGCCCGCCCTTCTACTCCCTGGCGCCCGGCATCCTCGACGCCCGCGCGGGGGGCGCCGGCGCCGCCTCGGAGCCCGCGGGACCCGGCGGCGAGGCCAGAGCGGTAAGCGCGCGACCCGGGACGGGGCTCCTGCGCGCCCCCAGCCCCGGTCCGGAAGGGGGTGCGGTGCCGGCCAGGGCCGCCCCGGCAGGTCCGGGGCGCGGAGGCGGAAGTGGTCCAGCCTGACCCCGGGACCTGGAGCCCCCTCCCCGGCGGCGGGCGTGCTCCGCCTTGCAGGGAGTGCGCCAGGGACTGTGTGCGGAATTCCGAAGAAGTTGGCCCCGGGCAGGCGGGCTTGAGCCCCAGCCTGAAGCCTGCTGTGGACATCCGCCCCCAGGTCCCTTCTGCTCCCGACCCCGTCCCCTGTTTACTGTCCCAGCGCTGCCAGCGCCAAAACTTCTTCCTTTCTTTCCTTTTTTTTTTTTTTTTTTTTTAACCAAACCCAGACAGTAACCCTTCCTTCCCTGGGTGTTGCGGGTTGTTGACGTGGAGCTGAGGCTGCCTGGGAGAGGCTGGAGCCCGGGTCGGGAGCCCGAGGGTCTCAGTGGATCCGGTGGGCACGCACCTTGGCGGCTGGAGCGAGACAGGGCGCCCCTGGCCCGGAGCAGAGGGGGTGGGGTCGGGCACCTTCCCGGCTCCAGGAAGGACAGGACGAAACCGGGAGGTCGCTAACAAGGGGCACATTTCCCCCGTCCTGCCTGCTCTCCCCACGTCTTAACGTCTTTTTCGGCCAAGTGCATGCGCCGGCGTGGCTCCAGCCCCAGCCGCACCCCACTTCCCTGGGGCCTGGGAGCTGGCCCGGTGCAGGGCACCACACGCCTCCCCCTACCCCGGCTGAAAATACTCCCAGCAGCGGAAAGGAATGCGCTCCTTGCCTCCCTGCTCCTTAGTCCCGTGGGTCCCAAGCTTGACCTGGCCGTTGGCATCCCTCGGAGGTCTCTCAGCGGTACCCGTGCCCACCTCCCCGACCCAGACATTCGCCCGTAATTGGTGCAGGCTCTGACCTGTGCGTCAGGACTTTGAAAACTTCCTCCGGTGATTCTGATGGGCCACAGTTTGGGACCCACCGCCTTAGACCAAAATCACACGGTGGATTTGAACTTTGGGCTTCGGCCCCAGGGCGGGGAGGGATATTGAGGACTTCCGGGGGGGGGGGGGGGGGGGGGGGGGGGGGGGNGGGGGGGGGGGGGGGGGGGGGGGGGGGGGGGGGGGTTGACAGAGGTGACCGACCCAGGCTGTTTGCAGTAAAATGAATCCTGCTGTCTGAAGGGGAAGCTTGCCTGCAAGCAGGTCTGGGACTTCTCACAGCCGCTGGGGGTTCTGGGTCACGCACTTGGGAGCGAAGGCCTGTGGTGTCTTACGTGACAGGGTTTAGAAAGGTCCAGGGAACCAGTCTCTTCCCCTTTCTTCTTGGGATGACCTGGACTCCTCCTTAAAGAGGGCTTTCTGGAACCTTCCTCTGCCAGCCAGGCCAGCCAGCATGCCTCGTTTACTTATCTTGGCTGTTCTGGCTGATCTGGTGTTGTTTTCTCCCTTCCTCGCTAACTAGACGCCAGGTATGAACCGCACTGGCCTTGGCCTTTCCGTTTGGCTCGAAGGCAAAGCTGGGGCTGTTTCCGCACAGGGACTGGTATCTGGCCTGCAGGTAGCACTTACCACGGGCCAGAAGCGCTCCTAACCCCTCGACCTACTTTGGCTCAGGTGCTTTCCACGATATTCCGTGAAGTATGCACCCTATAGCCCCACTTTCCAGACGGACCAGTTGAAGCCATTTCCCCAAGGTCACCCGGTCGGTAAGTGGTCTTATGGGGATGGAACCTCAGGAAGTTTGGATCCGGAGTCTATGCTTAAACCTTACATTGTGCTGCTTTCACTATGTAGCTAATTAACTACCTTTGTGGGTGTGTTATTATTTTTTTTAACTGAAAAACATAATGCTTGTGGACCTGTGGGGTTTTGAGGTGCTGCTTTTAATAAAAAGAGAGGAGATGGTTGCCCGGGGCAACCTCTTCCCCGCCCCGCCCCCTCGCCCACAGGGCCCCCCAGCTCCCGTGTGGTGAGAACACCTTGCGCACTGACGACTCACTGAGAATGTGTTCCAGGCCCAGATGCGGGCAGGATATGGGCCCCCCATCCTGTGCGCCTCCGGGGAGAGGGACAGAAACCTGTCCCGCATCTCGGAGCTGACGGTTTCAAACGCGCAGGCGGAGGCAGGTGGCCAGCAGGGCCGGGGCTCCTCGGGTGTCCCTTACTGCCGTGCGCCAGGCCGCGTGGGTCTGGGTTTCAGCCTGTTTCGCGCAGGGTGATTCTGACGCCCGGTGCCCGGCGCTGCCTGCCCAGCGTGGGTGGTGCGGGCCCCAGCCGGGGGTCGGGGAGGGGTGACACACGTGCAGGCGCCCGGCTCTCAGTACCTCGTCACCCCGCTGCTTCTGCCGGACACACATGTTAAGTTTGCTCAGGCTTCATTTCATCCAAGAGGCCCCATTCCCCACCCTTCACTTTGAGAGACTGGACTCAGCATCTGGACAAAGGCCCATTCATATGGGTGTCCCGCTGCCTGTGAGACTGTCCCCACCCAAGACATCAGAGGCTCCGGGGCCAGGCTGGGTGGGAATGCACCTCCCCCCCCCGCCTTGACCATGGGGCTCTCCTGCTCCCTCTTTGGGGCAGACGGTAACGTTTCTGGTGATTGGCAAAGCAAACGAAGATGTAGGAACCAGCCATTCACCCACCAGCACTTTCTGAGCACCCACTGTGTGCTGTGCGCCGTTTTGGAGATGTGGGCACCATTGCACCGAACAGGATGTTCAAGGTCGCTGCCCTCATGGGAGTGGTGTTCTCTTGGGCGAGACAGAGTCACCAACTTAAATGTGGTTTGCTAAGCGTTGTTGTTAAGACAAAAGGCTGGGTGAGGGCGCCAGGCCGTAGGCAGGGCGGTCAGGAAAGTGATGGTTAACAGAAAGCAGGGAAAACAGTGAGGGCGTGGACTTTATGGTTATAGGGCTGAAGTGTGGACCAGTCCAAGAGGATGGTGCGTGCAAAGGTCCTGAGGTGGGAACCAGATCGGCGCGCTCAAGGAGCAGCGAGGAGGCGGGCAGAGGCCAGAGCAGGGACTTGTGGGCCACGCTGAGGTCAGAAAGTTAAAATTCCATTTGGTCTAATGCACTTGTCATTGTTTTATTTTTATCTCTCAAAAGACATCATCCATCCTGAGCGCCCAACCCACCCCCAACCGCAAGCCCTCAAATTAGAGACTCAAGTGAGACCCGACTGAGAGGTGCCCTGGGGGTAGGATCGGTGGGGACGGCCCGGCTGCCTGCGGGCCAGGACAGCTCGCCTGTCAGCTGCACGCACGCCGCAGATGCTTGAGCCAGGCCGGGCGAGGGCCCCCACGAGCAAGACACACGCCGTCCGTCAGTCCATGCTTCCCTCGAGTTCCCGGGGCCTGGCCCCCAGCCCAAGGGACGAGCTGCCCGAGGGGGTGAGGGGCCACGTGCGGTGCTTCCAGTTAACACGGGGGGATCCGGGAACTAGCCCCGAGGAGCCTGTGCCCCCAGGGAGGCCACGACAGCTCCCGTGGCCCCGCCCATCTCCCGGCTCTGTGTGTGGACTGTACCTCTGACACCTCGCCTCCTGAGAGTCTCCCTAAGGACGAGGCGCCGGGTCCCTGGGCCAGACTCTGAGGGGCCCTGGGGGCCAGGTGTAGGCAGAACCAGTGGTGGCGGTAAGGTGTCTGTGCCCCACGTGGGAGCCTCGCGGGGCTGCCCAGCCCTTGGAGGACACCCAAGGTCACGGGCGTCTCAGGATCGTGGCTGGCACCACTCCCCCCGTGCCGCCAGGAGTCCTGGATCGTCTCATTTCTGGCTCTGGACTAGGATGGTGAAACCAAGGAGAGAGGGAGGGATTTAGGGAGTTTGTGCCCAGGATTGGGAAGGATGGAAGGGTGGAAAGACAGATGGACAGACGGATGGATGGATGGATGGATGGACGGACAGACGGACGGAGGGACAGATGGACAGACGGACGGATGGACAGACAGATGGACGGACGGATGGACGGACAGACGGATGGACGGACAGACGGATGGATGGATAGATAGATGGACGGATGGACGGACGGATGGACGGACGGATGGACGGACAGATGGACAGATGGATGGATGCACGGACGGACAGACGGATGGATGGATGGATGGATGGATGGACGGATGGACGGATGGATGGATGGATGGATGGACGGACAGACGGATGGATGGATGGATGGATGGATGGATGGATAGATGAATGGACAGATGGACTGAGACAGAGGTCAGTCCCCAAAGCCCCCTTGCAGGCTCATCGGTGTGTCCCTGACTAGTGACGGTGTGTGAGCAATCCCAGGTGTGCCAGGCCAGGGTGGGAGGAGCCCATCTGCAGAAAGGGAATTTGGGAGGAGGGAGGGGAGGAAGAGCCAGAAACACCAGCACTTCCGTTCAGCCCTTGTTTGCTTAACCCTGGACGAACCGGCAGCCCCACGGCCCAGCGGCAGGCTCACCTGGGCGAGAGGCTCTGGCTCTGAAAAGGCGACCAGTCGCCCCACCCCCTCCTGGCTCTGGAGATGAGGGAACCTACAGGAGCCCCCTTCTGGGGGCCTTGCGGGCCGTGCTGGCTCCCGGGCCTGTGTGGCCAAGTCACAGCCTGGGGCTCCAAACAACACACATTCCTTCTCGCAGCTCCGGAGCCAGAGGTCCAAGGCAGGTGTCAGCCGGGCCACACTCCCTCCAGAGGCTCGAGGGGGACCCATCCCACGCGTCCGTTCCAGCTTCCGGTGGTGGCTGGCCGTCCCGGCGTCCGGGTCCTGCGCGTCTCCACGTGGCTGCCTGCCCTGCGTGTGTGTCCTGTGGTCTTTCTCGTATGGGGACACCGGTCACTGGATCTAGGGCCCCGCCTTGTCCAGGAGGACCCCGCCTTAACCTGACCGTGTTTGCAAAGACCCGATTTCCCAAACAGGGTGCACTTGCAGGCCGCCTGTTTTGTGGAGGTCAAAGCCAGCCCGGCCCCGCCCTCCTGCCGGCTGGGGTCTGG